ATCCATCGTTCTTGTCGAATGAAGCCCAAGGCAACCGAAAGAAATAACAATAAGAAAAAACAAAAAATTGTTTAAATCCTATTTAGAAATTCTTTTTTATTCTTTTCTATTGTAAATAACAATAATGCAGTTCTTTTTTTATGTTTCGTTCTTGTTCTTCCTTGTCTAATGTTGAATGCATGTACACAAATTTTATCTGTAACTTTTCGTCTGCAGCATTTTCAAAAGAAAAAAAAACGAATACTCAAATATAAGAAGTCCTTGAAGTTGATAGCGATCAGCCAAACAAAAATGAAACTGTAAACATAAAAAGGAAGAAAAAAAATCGAAATGCATTTAGAGACACAGACGAAATATTTTTGTTTTGTTGATCGTTACAGTGCGCAACAAGTATCCATGTTACCATTCATTTAAGTAAATTGAAAAAACGAGTGTGGGTGTGGGTATGACTATGGATGTGGACGGGTGTAGGTATAGTTTTTCTTTTAGCTCACAGGTACACCGACCCACACCCTAGTCCTTCAAAATTTTCGTTTAAATAAAGAATCTCTGTTGTTGTCTAACATTTATTCATTCGTGATTTCAGATTGACGACGCACATAATACATATAGCTCTTCACATTACGTACAATCAATCAATATGGGTTGCGGTGCATCAGCAGGATCAACGACTGATTCTCTCAGCAATCATCCAAATCCTACTACTACAGCAGCAGTAACACCATCAACATCGTCCTCAACTGTATTAAATCAACAATCGGATTCAAATCGTATTCCGAAACGGGGTCGTCGAACTGATACAAATGAAATTATTGAAAATTTTCTTTTGATTTGGCTTGATGGAAAAATCGATGAATCCAGCAAAGATTATCAGAATTCAATCAAACAGCTGCGACGCACCGTTAATACTGTCGAACCATTTCAACATACAGAAGAATGTATTGATTATATTTCAAAACTTCAAGACAAAAAAGCATTTCTTATTATTTCCGGTGCTTTATGTCAAACAGTTGTGCCACGTATTCATAACATGGATCAAATTCATTCAATTTATGTCTTTTGTCGAAAACAAGAAAAATATGAAGAATGGGCAAAAGATTGGTCCAAAATAAAAGGTATTTACACTGAAATTACTCCAATTTGTGACTCAGCTCAACAATCGGCTCGACAATGTGACGAAGATTCTATTGTTGTTAGCGCTGTATCATCGTCGAATCAAATCGAGCCAACATTTATGTATACACAACTTTTCAAAGAAATTATTCTTGAAATTGATTTCGATGAAAAGAAAGAAATCAACGATCTAGCCGAGTATGCCCGGGAGAAATATGCAGGTAACGATAAACAATTGGAAATTATCAATGAATTCGCTCAAGAATATCAAGGTAATCAGGCCTCGTAGTCGTCCTATATTTCCTATATATTTCGAAAAAGTAAAGATTATTCTGAAGCGAATCATATTTCAGTCAGAAAAGATACACATTCTTCTGTATGTATTACCATTAGTTTCCACAATAGAACTGATAGCAGGTAGCGACAGTATAATATTAATTGATGGTGATGATACGAGAAGTAAATTCATAAGTAAGGAGTGATCGAAAGTCACACAGGTCTTAATGATAGTGAACTACGATGTCAAAATTTGGGGATCTAACACGCCTAGTCTAACCTAATCAAAAAATTTTAGACTCCAGCCCCGGATTTTTTTTTGCATTTTGGCGACATTCATATCATTTTGACGCGTAAAATTATTGCAAATGAATAATTAAACGAATCAATAAATAGTACACATCGTATATTAGTGTAGAATTCATTATTCTTGGTGATGGTTTTTCAGAAACCACAGAAACAAAATGACTAAAAACGTTTTCCAAAAAAAAAAGCGCTTTTTTGCTATTCGTAAGCGTGAATCTCTCGAATGTTATTAACTTTTCTTGAGATTTATTCATAATGTTAAAAATAGTAGATATAATTTTTCATTAGTTAAAATATCAATAAGGAAGTTACGGCTAGGCAGGAGTAAAAAAATCCCCGAATGTCTTACGGATATAACTCCGATAGTGACTCAGAAAAACTATTTTTCAGCCACTCCGTTGGAATCAAAATGGAATTTTGGAGTCCG